TGTTAGCTTACGTGAGCTTCTTTATTAGCTAAAAAAAAAGTCTTGACCATATGGCGGCAAACGAAAGATCATTTTGTAAGAATCTTGATTGAATCTGATGTGATTTGATTAGGCGCCTAGACGCTTTGATTTATTTAACTTACGTGAGCTAAGATTTATGTAAATGTGTGAGCCTATGTTTTTATGTGCATGTGTATTTGCAGTCAGTCGAATATTATTTGTTTATGACTCGGATGACATCATCTTTGGTCATCCTTGTGTTTGCATCTGCTATTCTCTCACATGCGCCTTATACAAAGTCATTCATTGAAATCTCTTACTCAAGGTTATCGCTAAATCACATAAAAAAAAAGCTCATCAACTCTGTAGTCAGACGAATATATGTATGTGTGTGTACAGGTTTTATATTATTTTATTTTGTTGTTGAATTGTTTCATTCGACGAAAAAGGAACTAAGGACACGCTAAAAAGTGAAAACCAGTTTGACATTGACTTTGCCAGCAGCTCGTTTGTATCTTTTTGTTTTGTGTGTTTTCTGTGTCGTCAGTTCCGAAAATCAATGCCAAATTTGAGGGCACATAAATATATGCATATAGGCTTTTTTTAAAGGCATATTTATGTCATCAATTAACTTGAAAAAGTCTTTTATTTTTCGTTATTTCTCAGAAATCGTTGAACATATTTTAATTAATTTGAGAACTTTTTATTATGCTGGGTATCTGCTAGTCTATGTGTATTTAGCGTCTTTTCATGTGTTTATTTGGTTAATTTAGATCGTTTTTTCTTTTGGCTGGTGCTATTGACAGATCATCTAGTCAAGTGATGCCCATCTTTAAATTGACTTGAGCTCCATTAATGCGCCACAAATATCACCTCAGAATGTGAGCTGGCACCATGTTTGTACAGATTGAAATATGCAGTGGGTGTAATGTATACAAAAATGCTTGAAATTCTCATGAACTGCGAGTCAACCTGTCAGTTCGAAGCCGTTTACAGTTACACCCACACACACATAACCTAGAATTTATTACTAAAATATCACTTACTCATACTTGTACAAATATAAAATAGATTTAAATATTTCGTGTATATTTTTATTGATGTTTGATGTCATTCCGGCAGAAAAAAACAATAATTGGAAATGCAGTACTCGAGCAGCTCGGAAAATTACTCATCCTCAATAAGAGATTCGCCTTCCAAATGGAATGGACGTGTAAGTCAAAATTCTTATTATTTTTGTAGATCTCATTTAAATCTTAAAAATGTATTTATATCCACAGAACGACAAGAATTATGCGTACAAGAAGTCATCGTACCAATATTCAAGCTCCGGCGACAATAATGTGTCATATCAGAGCAAGGGCACCGATCAAAACATCGATCAGTTGGATGCCCTGCTTGAGGACCTGAAACAGGAACGCCAGCTCACGACAAGAGAGCGCGAGATCCTACCCGTTGGAACTACCTATAGAACACTGTAAGTTGGTTAAAGATTAGTTGAAATAATAATAATCATTGATTAAATATTATACTTAAGTAAATATATTTAGAATTTTTGTTATTTATTAAGAGAACAACTTTCAAAAGTAATTCTATAAGACAATATTTAAAATCAATGATTTTCCTTTTTCAGTGAGCGCACTGATCCATCGGGCACTATCACGAAGACAACGCGTGTAATCAAGACCACGAAGCATTCGGGTGGCCAGCAGCCCATCAATGATGATGTCGAAACCTTTAATCCAACCGACTACAGCACACTGCAGTCTACGGCCAAGTACTCCAGCTTTCAGGACAACTTAAAGCGTGACGAGTACCAGACCAACGAGAAGCCCTATACGCTAGGTAAAGCCCATATGAAAACCTTTCTATATCGTTTGAATAACTTCTTATCCTCTTTCAGCCCACTCACCCGGTGGTCAGTATGCGAGCAAGACCAAAATCTATGAGAGCAATCGCACAATCAACAACAATGTGGAGCTGGTGCCGAGCACCGTGAGCACCACTCAGACGCTGACCAGCAATGTAGACATTGACAAGGAACTGCAGGACATTGCATTGGGCGATGGCATCTTGCCGGTGCCGGGCACCAAGGTGACCACCACGGTGCGCACCTACACCTATGAGATACCGTCGACTGGCCCCGGCAGCGCCACCAGCACCATTAATCGCACCAGCAACAACAATACGCTGAGCAGCAGCTACAAACACCACGAAACACTCAACAGCAGCCAGAACTATACGCAGCTGTCGCCGTCTCATGTGCCCCAAACTGTCGTCTATAATACGGAGAGCTATTCCACGCTCAACAAGCCCAACGATCGGCCGCTGGTGACCAATCAGTCGTATGAGATTCGCGAGCACAAGGAGACGACCACGCGCGGCTTGAGCCCTCAGCCTCGCCAGCTGCCGCTGGGACCAGCGGTCAGCCCGAATGGTGTGCCGCCCAACTCTAGCCGCACCGTCATCTACAATATACACAAAACGGACAATGTGAATACGGTGAACGACGTGCGCTATCCGCACAGTCCGGCCCATAGCCCCAACTACGGCTCGCCGCACAGTCCCGGTCAGCTGCCGCCCGGTGGCACCAATCGCTACTATTTCAAGGAGACCGAGACCTCAAATACCGTCAATACCATACACGGCCCGCCCAACGGAAGCGGACCATACCCAGGGGAGCCAGCTCATCCGGCACCACTCAAGCAGCTGCCCAGCTCCAACTATCCACAGCCACAGACCGGCAATGGCTATCCACCGAATAATACCACTTATTCATATAAATACTCTTCCACAACGAACACGAATACGCGCCGAGGACCGGGCCCAGACTATGGCTCGCCCTCGCCCTTCCCCGTTGATGGCGTCGAGTATCCCGTGGGCAACGGCAATCCGCCACAGCGTGTGGACGATCTAATGCAGTCCTTTGGCACTGTGAGTAAATACTGGCATAGATTTTAACCAAATTCTCATCATTTTGCTTTCCGCAGACGGATCACGTGGATCGCGTGGATATTGAGACACCGGTGCGCAAGCGCGAGATTGAAACAGCAGTCGCATCGCCACAGCAGCAGCACGTGCCCTCCGTCAACAAGGCTGGCAAGGAGGTATACTATCCACCTGGTCACGACACAATCATAACCAGGCGCGAAGAGATGCACGCAGGCTCTGCGGGTGGTGTAAGTCTTTGCATTTGTTAACGAATTCGTTTAAATTCCAGGTTACTTACATTGTATTCTCTTTAATAGGGTCGCTGGGCCAAGGGATCGGGCATGTACGAGTACGAATCGGGCTCGAAGTCCAAGACGAAAACCAAGTCCGGTGGCGCAGTGGTGCCCCTCTGCCTGCCCCTCTGCTGTGCCATGCCCTGCTCCATAATGTGAACACCGCAGCGAATCGCAGCGCTTACATTTGTATATAGGATTCTCTAATATTGCCGTTAATAAGTCTAACGCTAATTCCTGCCCTCCTCCTGCGTACAGCTTGTCGTTGTTTATATTATATATATATGTTCGTTTACCTAACCACTTATCGGGTTTTGCCTCTCATCTGGATGCTCTAATTGTTGTAATTTTGTTGACCAAATTGATATCTATTATAATTTCTATTTGTATATATTTATATATATATATTATACGTGTCCAGGCCAATTGACTACCATTTGCTAGTAGTTACCCCTAACCTAGTTTGCTCCGAAAATGATGGAAAATTATTTGCTCACTATCCAAAAGAGAAACCCAAAAAGCATTTATATTACAACGTGACCAGTGAAAACCCCGGGCAGGCCTCAAAAGGTCTGCATAATTTTAAGTTTTTATTTGAAAGCCAATTGTTTTAACTGTATTTTGCATACCAAACTAATAAATGAGCCACGGAATTGAATTCCCCACTCGCCATACTTATAAACGTGTTTTCCCGCCCTCGCCCAGCCCCCACCATCGAATATTATCTACTAATCATTAGCGGCCATTTAGCCGTGCCACAAAGTAATATATATAACCCAGACTTAAATGGTAACATAGTCGTTACGAAGCCATAAATATTTTCTAATACACGTACGCAAACAAAATGAAACAACAAAGTAACCTAAATAAAAACGAAATCTAACCAACGAAACGATTAAATGAAATTTTTAATTGGACTAATGGGTTTATATAGTATATGATAAATGACGGATAAATGCCCGCATTATTATACATAGATAATTCGTCTAAAGGTAAAACCAACTTTGGATTGATAATATAGTAAAAGTTTTATTCTGGTATAGTAAAATGTATTTTTTAATAAGTTTTACATTTGGTATTGTATATTAAAGTATGGTAGATAATAATAAACACCCTTGCAGAGTTTGATATAATTTAAGAGTCGTTTCAGACCGAACAGCAACTGCTGCCGCTGCCCTCTGCTAGTTGGATCGGATTGCTAAATAGCTGTTCTTGGATTATTAGTCAGTCAGAAAAGTTGATATTGAATACCCAAATATATAATTATATCGGACAAACTCTATGGGCCGTCTGCAAGGGTATAAGTCCGATTCGGTGTACCGAAGATACGAGAATTTTCATTTTCCATTTAATTATCATTTTTAGATCAAATAACAATTTGTATATCACAAAAGTAATATCTACATTTCACCTTGTAGGAATTGGTGTAGAATTTTTTGTCTTTTTTTGGTTTTTCTTTTTTTTGCTTTAAAGAGAGATTTTTAGTAAAAAAAATTATGAGGAAGAAACAAAAATCAACAAAATCTACATATCCATTAGAATATATAGAATATATTAAATGGGGCTAGCTGCACTACTGAAGTACATATGGTATTTCTATATTGACTGGACATGCTACGTACACAATATGTGTGTGTCTATTATTCGAGATAATTTAGGGCTACTTCGAAAAAGTAATTCTGTCATTTGTACATACATAAGTAAATATTGTACGAAATTGAGATTCCCATTCTGCAAAATTCATGTCTTTGCTTTGGTTGTTTCCCTTTTTTAAAGATGTACATAAACAGACTTTTACTGTATTTGGCTAACTCTTTCGCTCGGAGTTCTTTAGCTCAGCTAAGTACCAAGTGAAAGTCGGGAAATCCTTGATGCTGTAAATCTCATATTTGATCGAATTTATGCCATCCATTTCAATCTTACTGATGCCATTCTGTAGATTTTCGTAACTGCAATAGTAAAGTTAATAAGGTAAAGGTAAGGTAAGGGTTTAATTAATTGTAAGCAAAGCGCAGACCGTTTTGGATTGGCTTTTTCCTTCTGGTGCTTCAACATTTTATAGCGAGCTATATTTATTGGATAACGTGATATGAATAAGTTGGCATGTTTCAATCTGAAGCGAAATTTATGTTAATAATATATTCTATTGTTAGGGAATATTGATCGCCTTACCTGTTAGACATATCGTCGTCCTCGCCACCCCAGCCAAAGAATGAGTTCGAAAAGCCATTTACAGCCAGGAAGTGTTGGCGCGTCATGGCAGAAACTCCGCCAAATATTGAACGATAAGGCAACCTGCTCACCAGCAATAAATCAGCCAATTAATCATTTAATAAATAAATCAATCATTGCAACCTACTTGAAGTTCAGCGTGTCAATTGCAACGGACATGTGCCGCGGCTGACGTGGACAATTGTACAGATTGCGTTCATCCAAAGGTAAAAGATCGACGTCGTGGAATATAAAACAGTCCCACTGATAAAGCTTTAAGGCCTCCAAGTAACCAATATTCATCATGGCAGCACGATTAAAAGGCTTCCCATTGGTTTGCTCTATTATAAATATTCGATAAGCAATGCGCTGTTTCATTAGGAACGGATGTATGTTGCGTAGGAAGACCGAGAGGTGTGCGTATCGGTCGCGGAAGGGTACGACAATGGCGACATGATGTTGAGCAATGCAATCAGTTGGCTGATAAGCGCCGCCAGGACGCAGCAAAGGTCCCAGCTCTGCCTCAATAACATCAAGAGATTCAAGGGTTGTGTTGGGTGTGATGGGTCCACCTGAATAAGAAATTCATTTACAATATATATTTTATACATATTTTACTTCACTTACCATCTCTGGGATCGGGATCAGTGCAGTTTTGTGTGAGGTGCAATTGCGGCTTGAGTGTGCTGTTTGCATAATCTTGCGGATGCGCGTGCGATAAGTCTTGTGGAATGGAAGTAAAGTTTGCAATCGCAATCACAGTCGTTGAGGTTGAGTTGCGACCGATGTGTTGGTCGCGCTCTTTAGATAGCGCCAATGGAGCGGCAGGCAACTTTTGCCCCGAAATATTTGTGTTGACCCCCTTATCGCTGGCAAAGCCACTTACGTTGTCGCTTCGGCTGTGGATGTGTGCATACTTGTGCACACGCCGTATGCTATAATGAGAGCATAATTATATATGATTACATGAGTAGATATGTACATTAAGTGAATGCATTTTTCGCACTTACCTCAGCTTGCTCAGCGACGAACCGCTGACTCCGTCCGACTCTGAGGCCCACAAGAAGTTGAGCACCAGCAGTAGACATATTGAGCCGACCACGAAGCGTATGAGATTCGCTTTTGTAAATATGGTCATGGTCCATTGATTGCATCATTCCTTATTCAAGTTGATTGCTATTTTGAATGCCATTATTATGCTACTGCATTTTTTTCAACTTAAAATTACAAATATTGTTGTTCGATTCCATATGGACCAATCTTACAACAGCTGATTGTGAATCGCGAAAAACAACAGGGTGACTCGTGCGCATATTCCTATTGGCGCCACATTTAAGTTAAATAGCAAATAAAACTACTCATATATTAAGCTTTGCAGATACGATGGTAATATGAAATAAAACACCAGGATTTTTAGGAAATTACAAGCATTTAGCTGAAACTGATGCCAATTTGGAAAAACTAGCCAGTTCATTGACTATCATATATTTGTGTTTCTTTTACGGCTACTATTAATTATAAAAACAATTTTAAACAAAAAACTGAAGATTTTTACAAATTGCAATGCGTTCTATCCTGGCAGTCGTAATGGCTCATTATCCTTTAAATTGACGGTTTTGGATACATCCCCAAATGTATACTCTATGCGCAATATCTTATCGTCTCCCAAGCTGGGATCGAAAAAGCCAGGTAAATCGCACTGCAAAGCAAATTTAAAGAGTGGGTAAATATCATTAAATCAATTTAAATTCTATTAAATATACCTTCGACGATTCATACAACTGCAATGTACCATCCCTGACTAGACACTGAATGGGCACGGTGACATCATGCGATGCCTCCGGCTTGAACTGTGAGGTGCCTTCATTGATGCATCCATAGATCGCTCTCTTGATGATCAGCCCTCGACGGTCCTGTTCCTCTTGTAGGATGCGATTGTAGGTGCTCTGCATCAAGTGTATTGCTGCCATTGCCTCTGATTTCCTGGCAGCCAAACGCTGCTCATTTTGCCGCTTCGTACGCTCCACTTCCATGTTCTTACGATCCGCCTCCATGGGATCCATTATGGTCTTTTTGACGAAAAACCACGCAACTATCGGCGTCACTGTTGCATAGAAAACAGCAGCGGGCACAATTTCGTCGCTCAAATGGATTGGAAACACATACGACTGGTTAGAACGTATTATTCTGGAATCATTAATGATTTGTTTTGTTCAATACATTTTGCACAGACGGGTGGGTCACTCACTTCAATTTGAGTATGACTCCGGAAGGCACGCCTATGGAAACGGTTGCTATCAGCGAACTGTATTTCGAAACTTTTTTCTCCACGCCGTATTCGCCCAGGAATCCAAATGTGCCCACTCTGTAAATGTCAGCCATAGATCAATTAATGCAAATCATTATCCTAATCCTGTTGATGCTCACTTGGTCGCCAATTTCAGCTTCATCTCGTTCTCAAGCATTTTTCGAGTGTAGGAGACGCCGAAGTACATGTGTGGGGTGCCTATCACAAAGGACGTGCTTATGGCATGCTGATCGTTGGAGTGATCAACCTGCGTGGTCATGGATGACTGCGGTCCGGCATTGAGCGTCAGGCTGCCGACGGTGTGCTTGTCCAGCTGGACGGCCAATGTGGAAAACACAACGGGTATTACACCATTTTCCTGGAAATTCATATTGGTGCCGCCATTCAACGTTAGCTTCGATGTCAGCGTGCGCCCACCTGTTGCCATTGCATATATACAGATCTTCACTATTTAATGTTGCTCAATAATCCCAGTTGCTTACCCTTGAGACCTAACAGGAAGCCATTGCCGGCACCAAGGCAAATCTCCAACCAGCCTTTGTTGAGCAGTCGCCGGCCGGCAACCATAAATCCCCCTGTGCCGGTGCCATTGGACGAGTACAGATTGCCGCTCATGATGATCATGTCCTTGCGTGTTATGGGCGCCTCAATCGATTGGGCAATGCTCATTGAGCTGACCTCCACACGCGGCATCTCTGTGTCGTCGTAGGGCGTAAATATTTCGGTAGCATTCACATTGACAGTGATGTTGCCACGTGGATTGGTGCGCTGTTGCAGCCGGCGTTCGGCAGCGGCCTGAGCTAAGCGCTCGTACTCCTCCCGTATCTCTGCCGGTGTCTTTGTCCGGGGTACGACAGCCCTCTCCCAGCCCTCTGTTTTGAGACCCTTTTCGCCCACTGAATCGTAAATCGCACGCTGGTGCGGATCGGAAAGTACCTCATAGGCGCGTTTCGTCCGGTTGAACATGATTTCTGCCTTCTTTTTGCTTTCCGGGTCCATATGTTTGTCCGGATGGTAAATGCGACTTTGCTTCCGGTACGCGGTATTAATTTGCTCCGGCGTGGCCTGGCAAAAGGTGATGCATTAGAGGTACCAATAGATATATTTGATTGGAATGCACTTACATCTCGCGGCAAATTGAGAAATGTGTAGTAGTTTTCATCGAGTTCGGCGTCGGATTCGTTGTCCGATGCCATAACGCCGAATTTGAAAGTTAGACAATCGACAGATTACGCTCAGAGTGTCTAAAGTACCGGCTGTACAATAACGGCATAAGCAGCATCGGTCGAACCGACGATCTATTATTCAATTTTGGTGAAAATTTTGAAACTATTTTTTTATACTACTTTACGCAATAATAACAACACGTGTGATGGAACACGAAACGCTGGGAAATCCTCACATACACAGGGTGCCTCGGACAGATCTATTGGAGATGCCGAGCAACTAACGTCATAAACAAGTCTATTCACATATCAGCTAATACAGTTTGTATAGCCGAATCATTAAATACACAAATTTCAAATCAATTCTGAAAAGCTTTGTAAATAATTTGAAGAAATCACACGTACACTTGCCACTCAAAAGCGTTGGCAGCACCGCAGCCGAACACTTAGTGCAACTCTGCGTATTTTGTTTCAGTTCCACCACAAACCGATTATTTTGTTGGCTGCTCACATCTTTGACTGTCGTCTTTATCCAGCCCTCGTAAGGGAAACGTGCTCGTGGTTCGCTCTGACGAAATTTTCGACTCAATAGCGGTGCATTTTGCAGCTGTTTTATTTGATAATTAGTGCAAGTGTAAAACAAAAAAAGTAAAATACGAAAATGTTGCGCGTACCCAAGCTTATACCACGCCTATCGCGCCAGGTCAGCCTCGCAGCCCCAGCGCATATGTCGGCAGCTTCTAGCATATTCCGCGTAAGTACAATTGAGCTTTACATAATAGTCGGTGCGGCATGTTCTAGCAATTGATGTACCGCCTAATGTTTTTACATTTCATTTACCTTAAACGCATACTTTTGCCTATTTACAGAATATTCCTGGAGTTTTCAATGGATTGTCGGGCCAGATGCGTTACAAGTAAGTGAACTTTGAACACTATAGCACTTATTACACATGTTGACTTGCCGTATTGCATTGCTAGACATTCAAATAAACCAATGTGCCGCTACTTATGTAATACACATTTTCGAAAGTAGTAATATATTGGAATATAGTATCTTTTGCTAGCATTGAAGATTATCTGCTTAAAATATCTTGTTAATATATGCGGCAGATATATAAGCGATGTCTGTTACATGAACATGCATACACATCCATACATATATACACAAACATGCAGTTACCGTCAGTGCTGAACAGAGTGGTTTAATTGTAATTAGTAGATCAGTTCCGCCGGTTAATGAACTTCTTTCAAATATAATTTTTAGTTATATAACATAATATTGCTCTAATATTATTCTGTGAAAGTTATAATTATGTTTTCAACATTTTAAGAAATAATTACATCAGCTTAACTTATTGTTGTTGAAGTGTAACTGATCATCTCCAATTATATTCTTATCTCATGTTTCTTTGTATTTCGCTCGGCGTACGCAATCTTATCAGAATTACAAAAATCCACTAACACGTGTTTTTTTTCTGCTACTCGCAGATCTGGCGAAGTTAAAGGAGCAGTTATTGGTATCGATTTGGGTACCACCAACTCCTGCGTGGCCGTTATGGAGGGCAAGCAGGCGAAGGTGATTGAGAATGCGGAGGGCGCTCGCACAACGCCCTCACACGTTGCGTTTACCAAGGATGGCGAACGTTTGGTTGGTATGCCGGCCAAGCGTCAGGCAGTCACAAATTCAGCCAACACTTTCTATGCCACAAAACGTCTGATCGGACGCCGCTTCGATGATCCTGAGGTTAAGAAGGATATTACAAATTTGTCCTACAAAGTGGTTAAGGCTTCTAATGGCGATGCCTGGGTATCGGCGACAGATGGCAAAGTTTACTCGCCCTCGCAAATTGGTGCCTTTATTCTAATGAAGATGAAGGAGACCGCCGAGGCGTACCTCAACACACCAGTCAAGAATGCCGTGGTCACGGTGCCCGCTTACTTCAACGACTCACAGCGTCAGGCTACAAAGGATGCTGGTCAAATCGCTGGCTTGAATGTCCTGCGTGTGATCAACGAGCCAACAGCAGCGGCGCTAGCCTATGGTATGGATAAAACCGAGGATAAAATGTGAGTTAAAGAAATCACTGATTTATGGCTACATTAATACTAATATATATGAAATTAATATCTTCTAGTATTGCTGTATATGATTTGGGCGGCGGTACCTTTGATATTTCCATTTTGGAAATCCAGAAGGGCGTCTTTGAAGTAAAGTCCACTAATGGTGACACTCTGCTGGGCGGAGAGGATTTCGATAATGCCATTGTCAACTTCTTGGTGGCCGAATTCAAGAAGGATAGCGGCATTGATATCCGCAAGGACAATATTGCCATGCAACGCCTGAAAGAGGCTGCAGAGAAAGCTAAGTGCGAGCTGTCGTCCTCCCAACAGACCGACATCAATTTGCCATATCTGACCATGGATGCTGCGGGACCCCAGCACATGAATCTGAAAATGACTCGCTCCAAGCTGGAGAGTCTGGTCGGCGATCTGATCAAGCGCACCATTCAGCCTTGCCAGAAGGCATTGTCTGATGCCGAGGTATCCAAGTCTGAAATCGGCGAAGTTTTGCTGGTCGGCGGTATGACGCGTATGCCCAAGGTGCAGTCCACAGTGCAGGAGCTATTCGGACGCCAGCCTTCGCGTTCAGTCAATCCCGATGAGGCTGTTGCCGTCGGTGCCGCTGTCCAGGGCGGTGTCTTGGCTGGCGATGTCACTGATGTGCTTTTACTCGATGTCACTCCCCTGTCGCTGGGTATTGAGACATTGGGAGGTGTCTTCACACGTCTGATCTCTCGCAATACGACCATTCCCACCAAGAAGTCGCAGGTGTTCTCAACGGCCAGCGATGGCCAGACTCAGGTGGAGATTAAGGTACACCAGGGCGAGCGTGAGATGGCCAACGACAACAAATTGCTGGGATCCTTCACTCTGGTTGGCATTCCACCAGCGCCTCGCGGCGTGCCCCAAATTGAGGTGGTCTTCGATATTGACGCCAACGGAATTGTCCATGTGTCGGCCAAGGACAAGGGTACCGGCAAGGAGCAACAGATTGTGATCCAGTCAAGCGGTGGTCTGAGCAAGGATGAGATCGAGAACATGATTAAGAAGGCTGAGGAATACGCATCTGCTGACAAGAAGAAGCGTGAACTGATTGAAATCGTTAACCAGGGCGAGAGTATTGTGCACGACACAGAGACCAAAATGGAAGAATTCAAGAGCCAGCTGCCCGCTGAAGAAGTACGCAAATTGAATTTCTATTATTGTGTGGAAATACCATAATATTCTTTGATTTTTTTATAGTGCGAAAAAATGAAGAAGGAAATTGCTGATCTGCGCACTCTGCTGGCCAACAAGGAGACCGCTGATCCAGAGGAGGTTAGGAAAGCCACCACTCAACTGCAGCAGTCCTCATTGAAGCTCTTCGAGATGGCATACAAGAAGGTAGGCTAACTAGCAAAACAAATATATATTTAGTATATTTTATTAATTGAAATTAATGAATTCTATGACAGATGTCCGCCGAACGCGAGAGCAGCTCAGGCGGCGCCGCCTCTGGCACCAGCAGCAGTTCGGCCGACTCTTCCGGCGACGCCAAGAAGGAGGAGAAGAACTAAATTAGGCAACCATAGTCGTAGTCGTTGTTCTCTTATTTCATAATAATCACATTTGGATTCGGATTAAGTTGTACGTTAAACAAAACAAAGCCCATCATATTCCTGATTCTTCTAAATCATATAAAATGATCCCGATCATTCATAAGCAAATAGCATTTACCCAAATTGTGTAGTAATACGCGTGAACATTAACAACCTACGAGATGCAAACACCAACGACATACGATCACAACTCAGTCAAATTCAGTTGCATTAAGTTTTTATTGTTTATAATGCACTACTCAATGTCTGGATCGAAATCAATTGTAAATCTGTGGGGTGACGGAGAGTTGTGTTGTTTGTGTGCCTACTGTAAGATTTTCCTTACTTTTACCTTACGTTTATTTTAAACTAGTTGTAGTTGTACAATAACGAGCACAGCAGCACAAGCCCAAATCCTACAGAGTCCTACATGAGATAAAATGTCACTCGTTGGCAGATCGAATGTTATAATTTAAGCAAAATTTGTCTTTGGTTTCCAGTGGATAACCAAAAATAAAATGAATTGACTGGGTAAAATGCAATTACATAGTCTCTTTAAATTTGTAAACTTTAAATATACGTGAACAATAATAATATATTATTTACAAACTGAAGCATTTTAATATCTTTTTATTTAATTATGTATGTGATTTTTAAGTGTTGTGTGCATAGATTTCATGAATTGCATATTGAGTATTTTGTACATTTGATTATTATTATTACTATTATATTATTTGAAGCACGCATGACAACTGCTATAAATAATTACTTTGCATTTGATACTAAAATGAAAAAGAATTTCTGACATTCTTTATCAGCTTCAGCTTACGCCGGCTGAATACTTGATAAGGCTTTTATATATTCATATCTATCGATTGACTTATCAAATTATAGCAATATAATATACATATTTGTATATAGTTGCGAGCATTTACGTAAGGAAATGTAGTCGAATGATTGATATGGCTGATATTGCTTCCTACAATGTTTGTGAATTCAATGCAAAGCTTTTAGCCATTTACCAAGCATATTGGACTATTTTCGCAATTGGATTTTTAATGACGAAATAAGAGTTATCAATGATCATAGGCAAGGGATCACATGCTTCATAATCTTTCAACTTTGCTAAACATAGGGTATTTTAGCACCTGGAACTAAGAGTGAGTCATTCGCTTCTCGAAGTTTTATTTTGTATGGCATTTTGTTTTGATTTACTTTTTATTTTATTTAAAGAGATCACATGTTTCACGCGCTTGATAACCGTAAAACTTTGCTTGGAGAAAGGTGTCATATTTGTAGCGCCTGGAACATGAGTTTCTCATAATGACTCACTCACTTTCTTGAGTCAGTTTTTGTTTTTTAATATTTTATCTTTAGAACTTTACGAATTGGTAATTGTTATATTTAGTGTTCTTTATTTATTTGTTTCTTTTTTTAAATTAAATTTTTTTACTATTTTTTTTTTTTATATAATTCCAACAAAGTCGGTAAATTCATAAATATTTTCTTAACAGCTAACGTATTACTATCTACATTAAATGTGTCTGGTGTTTCTTTCGTTTTCTCTATGTACAGGCTAATACTAATCGCTCGTAGGCAAATAATTCTCATTGATCGCTATTTGTTATTCTAAGTGTTACATATTGATCCGTGTGTCAATATTTACATGGAACCAGTTTGCAGTTTGTACAATGTGTAGTAGAGACCTCGGTTCTCCAGCAGCTCCTTGTGTGTGCCGCTCTCGCAGACGACGCCGTTCTCGAACACGTAGATCACGTCCGAGTCGACGATGGTGGACAGTCTGTGGGCTATGCTGATTGTGGTGCGACCCTCGGCAGCGGCATCCAATGCTTCTTGAACGACCTGCATAAATATGAAAATAATAATAATATTATTTATTAAAAATTAAACGGTTTTCCTTTACGACTTTACCTTCTCACTTTCGGCATCCAGAGCGGATGTGGCCTCGTCCAATAAGAGAATCTTCGGGTTTCTGATCAGAGCACGAGCGATAGCTATGCGTTGTTTCTGACCCCCCGACAACTGTGTGCCCTTCTCACCCATGCGCGTTTCGTAGCCCTGTAGAGCATAGATCAAATGTTATTACCCATTCTCGAGCATATCTGAGCTCCTACTCACCAGTGGCAAATTGGCAATGAACTGATGTATGTTGGACTTCTTGGCTGCCGCAATAATCTCCTGATCCGTGACTATTCTGGTGTTGTCGCCATAGGCGATGTTCTCACGTATGGAGCGATCGAACAGGATGGGCTCCTGTGACACGATGCCCAGCTGCATGCGCAGATTGCTCATGGCCAGCTGGCGAACGTCCCGGTCGTCGATCAGCACAGCGCCAGCGTCCACATCATAGAAGCGCTGCAGCAGCTGAATGCACGTGGACTTGCCACAGCCCGAGGGACCAACTAGCGCCACTTTCTGGCCAGTTTGCACGCGCATGATAAGCTCGCGCAGCACCTGCACCTCGCGGCGCGTCGGATAGCTGAACTCCACCTTGTCGAACATGACGTTGCCATTGGAATGCCAGGGCTCCAGAGAGACGCCCGGACTGTCGGCAATCAGTGGCTTTCGCTCCAGGAATTTCAAAATGCTCTGCGCCGCTGTAATGCCCTTCTGCATGTTGGGCGCAAAGGCCAGGGCGCTGGCAATGGAAGCGGTGCCCATGATCAAAGCCTGTGATACCCTGTAAACGAAAAATGAATCGTTAACTGACTAGACTTTGTTTCAGTTCTTAGCGTTGCTTACTTGAATACATCGCCCATTTGGAGATTGCGATTGATAACGCACCAGGCGCCGTAGTACATGCAGGCAGCATAGGCAAAGAACATCATTGATCTGGCCAGGCCATAGACTATGCCACGATAGTGCGTATTCTTTTTCGCTTTCTAGAAGAGTACAGAGGGAAAACTGATAAGAAAACGCTAGCCGACTCCGAACTTGGTCAAATTAGGAGATGATTTCAATTGGAGAATTATAGGATCATAGTTAATCTTAGGCTGCTTACCACAACGGCCGGTGTGAGTAACTCAATGTAGGTCCGATGGAACATGTCCTCGCGCGCCAGAGATACGACGGTGCGAATATTTGAGACCACCTCAACGGCCAGCTTTGTTGTGTTCTCCATGATCTTGGCATTGCCCATATTCTCCTGCGCCATGACAATGCGTTGCATATAGAAGGAAACCAGTATGAAGGGTATAAAGGCTATGGCCACCAGACCCAGGCTCCACTCATAGTACATGGCCAGCGCGATGCCCAATACCAGAGTGGCAATCGATTGGATAATGCTGCCAATACGCTGACCAGTTGCCTAAATATATAAATAGAGATAGATAGAATAAGAAGAGTTCCACAAATTCCACAGTATTTGTAGTACTTACGCCCTGTACGGCGGCTGCATCGCCGGATAGACGGGCGCAGAGACTGCCCGTGCCATTGGAACGATCATCGAACCAGGAGACCTCCTGCTTGAGCATTGCACTGAAGAGCAGGCCACGCAGACGCTCCGTCAGATTCTCGCCGGCCACGCCAAAGAGATAGATTTGCATAAAGGTGGAGATGCCGACGACAATGCCGCAGATCAGGAAGTACAGACTGTACTGGTTGGTGTTCTCACGGACGTATTCATCGTTGTCGGAGCGCAGCACGTCGAGTATGCTGCCGAATAGGACAGCGAATATGGGCATGGCACAGCCCATGATGATGGAGCACACGCAACCGATACCAATCTGAAGCCATTCGGGTTTATTTAGCTTCATGACGCCAAGCATGGGCGAGGGATCGTCTTTGTCTCCCTTGTTCTTCTTCTTCTTCTTCTTCTTTTTATCTGTATGATCTATTACGTCATCGATATCCTCCTCTTCTATCACCTTGATTTCCTGTTCGTCCTCATCCTTAATGTCGAAGTTCTTGAACATGTTGCCAGTGGGACTGAGCACGCTGCCATCGTCCTCGCCCATCTGTGTGGTCACCAGATTGAAGTAGTGATTCTTGATGGCCATCAGCTCCTGATGGGTGCCGGCTTCGACGACCACGCCGTTGTTGATCACCACAATCTTGTCGGCACGGCGCACCGTGGACAGGCGATGGGCCACAATGATGGTGGTGCGCCCCTGGCTCACCTTTTCCAGGGCAGCCTGCACCTTGGCTTCGCTGGCTGTGTCGAGGGCCGAGGTCGCCTCGTCCAGCAGCAGAATCTCCGGATCACGAATCAGAGCGCGAGCAATGGCAATGCGTTGCTTCTGTCCGCCAGACAACTGGGCTCCACGCTCACCCACCAGCGTATCGTAGCCCTTGGGCAGCTTCCTGATGAACACGGCCGCATTGGCTGCTGCTGCAGCCGCCTCGATGTCCGCCCTGGTGGCATCCTCGCGACCATAGCGTATATTCTCGTATATGGACTGGCCAAAGAGCACGGGCTCCTGTCCCACGACTCCGATGCGCTCGCGCAGCCACTTGATATTGATATCCTTGATATTTATGCCATTGAAGAACACGTCGCCAGCCTGAGGATCATAGAAGCGCTGTATCAGCTGTATGCAGGTGGATTTGCCACAGCCCGACGGCCCGACCAGGGCCACCGTCTGGCCACGATGGATCTTCAGATTGAGCTTCTGCAGAATGGGAATCTCTTTGCGCGTGGGATACTGGAACTCGACGTCGCGGAACTCGATGGTGGTCAGCGGCTCATCGAGAGTCTTGCCGCGCGGCTCAATCGGATTGATGGTTGGAATCTGTTCAATGATGTGGAAGACCTTGGCACAGGCGCCCTTCGCAATGCCAAACGCCTCAATATACGGCGAGGCCATGCCAATGTTCATGGAGCCCATCATGATCGAGAAGAAGACGGTGATCATGGTGCCTGGCGAGTAGTTCGCGTAGTATTCTTCGTGGCGGCCCTTGATGACGAGGCCAACGCCGTACCAGAAGGCCAGAGCATAAGAGGCATAGATGAAGAACCACAGTAGGCCAAAGCCGATGCCGGAGAACATGTTTCGCTTAATGTTCAGCAATTTGGCGGCAACGACCTTGTCCTTGTAGGCGGCAACCTCTTTGTATTCGCCCTCAAAGGCCTTGACGGTGCGGATGCCGGACAGGGCCTCCTCGGCGACAATGGCGGCGCTGGCATAGATGTTGACCTCCTGCTTGGCCAGCTTGGATGTAGCCACGGCCACGAAGCCCATGGCAACGAAGGTGACGGGCAAACTGGTCAGGCAGACAAGCGCGAGCTGCCAGCCCTTGTAAAATGCCAGCACAATGGATCCAACGAAGGCCACGATGAAGTGCACAAAGATCACAACCTTCTCGCCCAGGCCGTCCTCCATTTTGGATAAATCTCTGCGGGATTGAAGAAGATTAATTAGAGTCTGAGTTATTGAAATGATTTGCTTTACTTACTCATTCATGCGACTGGCCACCTCGCCGCTGGGATTCATGTCGTACCAGCCCATGTCCTGATGCAGCACAGACTGAAAGAACTTGGAGCGAATGGCCAAAATCTGGGAGTGGGCAGCATAGTTGAAGCACGTGACGGATATGTAACTGCAGACCAGCATTATAATTCCGATATACGTGTTGTTCAGCGAAAAGGACTGCACCGAATCCAGCAGCATGTCCGAGGCGGCATCCTTTATATAGACATTCCTCTCCAGTGCGCCACTCTTCTTAATCATGTCCTAAGAGTCCAAAGTAAATTAAAAGATATATCGGCTTAGTGGATGAGGACTGGTAAACACTACAATGCATTTTCAATTATTTTTATACCCTCAACTTGAAATTGAAAATTTAAATGTCGGGTATATTGCTTAGGCTAAGATGTATGAAACAGACGGAGAGGCGTGGTTAAATTACAGGCGGAAGGTAGAGTGGCAGATAGTTCGTCGGAACTAAATGCAAAGGCTATAAATAAATTGCGAGAAAAATTCGCTAGGGTATTTCCTAGTCAAGCACATTCAGGGTACTCCTATCGGACTTATTTTTTTGTTATCTAGCTATCAATCGTGTGTGGGCAAAGTAAACAAGTTTCAGTCAGCCAATCGGAAGAGCTCTGACTCAATTGCAAATAAAACATATGAATATGGAAGCGTTTCAGATATATGTATGTATACTCACATCAGTGAGATTTCCAAAGATCAAACTGTTCGCTGGTGTTGTCAGGCCCGTGGCCACAGCGCCGATCAGTCCGATAATGTAGAGTATACGATCCTTTGTCGTTGCATAGCGAAACATTGTAAAGAACCCGACGGGCTTGATGTCCTCCTTCGGTTTGTCCTCTTGCTCGTCTTCATCCTGTGTCTTCGATTGTTTTTTCGTTTTATTTGGCTCACTGCAATCATACGCAAAGCACACGCCATTTCATAAAAATACTTAAATGAAACTATCTCAGTTATAAATGGAGAGCGTAACAGCCGTTCGCATGCCACACTCTATCTTAGACTAATCGCACATTCCTTATCGCTGACCCTAGGCACCAATCAAGGCTGTCGAAGTGGTAGCCACGATACGTTCGCGTTGATTCGCACTATCAGCCCGAGTCCTAACACTTTATATCATTCATTCAAATCGAATTCGTCACCATAGTTCGTATCGCAAGATTCCCAGGCAGCACTTGGTTTCTACATACATATATGTATGTTCTCTTTGTTGTTTTAACTGCCATTAGAGTGCTAAAATTTATGGCGTTCGAGCGCGAAATATTGTGCACGCTTCGCTGTTAAAAAACTGCACGATCATGGTTACCGCAATTTTTCATAGACCTATCAAAGGAGGATAAATTGCGTATATACAGAATATGCGATTATAAATACTAGATTGATTTATATTGATATGTAAAATATATAATAATATTTGTAGGCATTATAGTATCAATCTAACATAAAATTATAATAAAAGGAAAAGAAAAATATTTATAATAAAGAAAAAAAAAACGATATTCACTGCTGCTACTATCTAAAATAAATGCTTTTTTTTTTAACAGAAAACAAATTCCTTAAAGCACTACTTGTATATTTTTGACTTTAGACAAATTGTTTATAGAAAATAAATATATACATAGATAAATATATAGATTTATATTGTAAAAATACATCACGGTAACACTATTATATAAATATACATAATTATTTTTATTAAATTATTCTTTTCTTTTAAGAAAACCCTTGTTTTTGTCAAAAACAACTTGATTGTATTTTTATCATATTTATAAAAATACAAATTTTTAGAAGGGTTTTGCTTTTGAATAATGTTTTTTTATAAGAAAATATGATTTTTTTTAATACACAAAATTGCATTTTTACATTTATTTTATTATATTATATTGGTAAACGCATCTTCTAAATTTTTTATAATCTGTTCCTTTTTTATAGTCCTTTGAAACTTATTATTTTCCTATATCTATTATATACAATAAATGTTTTTTGCGTCACAGAGTCACAATCACCCTTTGTTTTTATTTTTAACCCTAATTTTTAGAAAATTGTGGCAGGGCTCTTAGCTTAAAAGCTTTAACTTATCATTTTTTTTTTATAAAATGAACAGAAAAATGTATAAAATTACACGGTGAGTTATTGATTTTTTTATTTTATATGAAGTTCAAAGTACATTTCATTCAACTCACAAACTTTTGCGATCTTTGTCTTTCTCAGCAAAGGAGTCAGCCAAAACAATATTCGTTTTGTAGAGTGACAATCGTTTGTTATCGTCGTCCTTGAGGACATTGCCGTTGGACGCGGTCATTTTGATGGGCTATTGAACACTTTCTCTTCAGATTGATCAAATTTCTGTTATTCTAGAAAACACGAACTAAGTAGGACAACTGCCAGAAAGAGACTAATGAAATTGGTTAAAACATATGGGCTTATATTTGAATCGTAGAGCACCAAAATAAAAAGTTAGGTGATATCGGCAAATTTTCGATAAAGCTTATCAATTTATTGTGCTATGAATTAGGTAAGAGTAAGCACGGAAAGAGTAATGCCATGAATATGAGCAGACCAAATGAAGAGTAGATTTTAAATGCCAATGGCTTAAATTCTGCTGCAAACCGCTATTTTTGATTAATCGATTTTTATAGCCAATTCATAAAAATTGGAATTACTCCAATGGCTTTTCAAATTCAATGGAGCTTATGACGACTCGCACAATTTAATCATTCCATTAGCCATGTCATCATTCGTTTTTCAATTAACAATAAAGAGAGCGAAATTTCTCATTCTCTATCTCTATCTCTCTAAATACCACTCGCTCTCTCTCTCTCTTTCTGTCTGCCATATTAATTGCTAACACAATCGATTACATATTAAATTAACTTATCATTTGCAAATTGCTCAAGGCAGGCAAGGTGTATTTTCCAACAGATAACGCCGGTTTACGAGGCACTTGAAAAATACATGCATAAAAAAAATATAAACAAATAAAAACAATCAATTGTGCTTATTATATAATTGTACCTAGGCACTTACCATTTATTTTGAATCAGCTATGTTACATATACATATGTATATATCCTGATGTGAACTCTAGCGCTTAAGCGCTTGCGATACAAGTATAATTGTTTTGCTTTCAATCTATATTTACTTTTATATGTTAAATCAAGATATACCATTCCTGTTCAGAAAATTGAAGTTGAATATAAATATAGCCTTGTCTATTCTATGACTAATTGATAAGTAAATTATATATAAATATAATATATATATTTAATTGTATTTATTTATTTATATTTATTAGTTTTTTCATATTTGAATTAGTATCATTATTAATGTACAATTTTTCTCTCCTTCTGAAAGAATTATTCCCAGTAAAAATATACACAATATACAATGTACAAAACCCACAAAATTTACTTTAAAAAAGAAGAATTTATAATTGAATTCAATTTAATAATTTGATAAAAATAAAATGTAAATAGATGAGGACAACCTGTAAAATATAAGAAAAGAAGCATAAGCTTAACGATAAAGAAACATATACATATGCATAATCGAATCATTGTTGTCATTACAATATTATACGTAAAATTACCTGAGTTTTTAATCAATCACTTCAGGGAAGCATAACACGTTTACTTTCTTAGACAATGGAGGCATTTTAGTGGGAAATGCATGGACATGCGTTCTGACACTCTCTTGCGCTGATAAATGGTATTAGCGCTGCGTATTCATGAAATCAGCACTTTAAATGTGAGAGAGTGTTTAGTCTAGTAGCGATAAGAAATGGACGGCAAATATTTAATATGCGTAATCAGGTTGGCGCATGCGAGTCTATTAATATGCAAGTATTTGTTTACTGCTGGCCAAAATCTATGCCAAATAGATGATGAATAAGTCACGTTTATATTATGAAGTGATTTGATGAGGATCAAGATGGCAATAAAACTAATATTATAATAATTTTCTAATTAAATAAAATTTAACTTCTTAATAATTGTTTAAATAAATATTGGTTTTGGTATTCCAATCAATATACGTTATTATCAGGTAAAAGCTTAAGTTTAATTTATTTTTATTCAACCATTTATTTTTATTCTGCAATTTATTTGATTTATTTATTTATTTTTATATGAAATATCTTCTTAAGCTTAAGAGTCTCGCGTTAACCTGATAATTAATAACAGCCGCAAAAATATTCGAATTCTTAAATCTAATAACTAAAAATCGGCCTATCGAATATAAAGTACTCATAATGGTTCTGTTAGGGCTATGTTAATATGTCGTGAATAAGTGCTAGCAGACTGTTGAGTTAATTTACAAACTGTTAAAGCTTAAAATTTATATTGATATAATAATTTTCTACACCAAAAAATGCTTAAAAGATAATTTAAATAATTGTTAAGATACATTTAAAATTATAGCTCGCTACCATTCTTAACATAAATTGCTTACTGTTATTAACACCTTAGGCCAATGTTAAGTTTTTGCTTTTTATAACAGACTCTTTAACGAGCAGATGAACGACACAATCTGTGAGTTGGTTCGCTCATTCAGTTTCAGCGAGTCGTTCGATCGAACTTATTCCATACTCTATTAGTAATAGAAACGCAATTCAACAAGTCATCGACATGTCCGGCGAAGGAGAAAAAACTTATACGCGTGCCGAAGTTGCCAAACACAATACCAACAAGGATACATGGCTGCTAATTCACAATACTGTTTACGATGTCACAGCATTCCTGAACGAGGTAAGCATAGTCTAGCAATTAATCAACAGCAACAACAACTCTGTTGTACACGTCGGAATGAGGGCGCGGGCGATGGAATTTGATTTCCCCTTGTGTGAATAGTTGCTGTGGGAAGGGGGACAAGTTGTCTTATCATCATTACTTGGGTTTTATAACTCGTCTTAACAGTGTTATTAGTCTGTACATACATATGTATATGTTTCCACTTATTGCGTTTGAGAATAAGAGAATATTACCCGTAAAACACGAGAAGCCACTTGCCCCTGTACTTTGACCTACGATCTATGAATGAATGAATGACCTACTCATGCTCACAGCTACATTGAACTTGTGAAGATACATATTGTATTTGTTGCTTTTTCGAAACATTCATGTTTGTATTCATATTTATTTCATATTATTTTTCGTGCCAGCGCGTAGTTTCAAATGTTTTTTTATATTCATTATCAATGGAAATGGGGCAAAAGTTAAGCAAAATCTGTACAAACGAAAATTTACATTTCATTTTATTTACGAAACCAAGACACTATTTTGTATTTAAGTACTCAGCTGTATAGGGAACGAAATTAGAAAACCAATGTTAAGCGAATGTCACAAAATTGTGTGTATATATATTGTACAAATCAGATCTGCTTTATATACCTTGAACTTATAATCCAATCAACTAGAAAGACCTAAATTAGTGTAAAAATCGACATCTGTGATTCAGGTAGTGTAACAAAAGAATATATGTACATATATATATATACATGCATATATTTGTAATAATAAGTCATATAATATTTAAATAAATAAATTCATTGTTACTGATATATATACATATATACATTATATAATAATATATAATAATTTTTCCATTTGAAATATATAAAAAATAATTTGTACGTAATTTTTCTTATATATATATGATAGGAGTATATAAATTATATATATTCATTATTATATTTATTACTATCTATTAGTATCCGCTAAAAATCCTTATACAAATGAGCAGATGCTAGTCATTATGACCATTTGGTTCTAAGTTCTGCTGGTGATAAGAAGGCCCAACACTTAAATCATTTCTGTGTTATAATGATTACGTTGCATTTTGTGTTGTGAGGCAATTAAAGTTTGTGAATGATGAAAGTAGTAGCTTGCCTTGCATTAAAAACCTTTCGACGTTTATTCACACTGTTTAAAAATAGATACGCTTCATCCGACTGACGTGGGTCGAACGCGGGCGCTCGATGTTTTAAACATTGAGCAGGGTTTCACGGTCAGCGTAGAAGACAACAGCAAATCATTTGCATAGTTCGGCATATGAAAAGAGCGTACTTAATATTCGTTATTCGTTTGCTTTCTTGCAGCATCCCGGCGGTGAAGAGGTGCTGATCGAGCAGGCGGGCAAAGATGCCACCGAGAACTTTGAGGATGTTGGCCACAGCAACGACGCGCGCGACATGATGAAGAAGTACAAAATCGGCGAACTGGTTGCCCATGAGCGCACGAAAGTTGCCCAGAAATCGGAACCCACCTGGAGCACAGATACACAGAACGAGGAGAGTTCGATAAAGTCGTGGATAGTGCCGCTGGTTCTCTGTCTGGTTGCTACGTTCTTTTACAAGTTCTTCTTTGGCAATGCTAAGCAGCAATAAAGTCAATAAATAATTCCCACTCGCCTCAATGCTGCACCACTGGACGCCTCCACACAGTGAGAGAGAGAAAGAGAGCGACACACATGTAAAGAGTTGATATCCAGATACCCTGCCTTTATATACTAATACTGTTGTGTCTCATACACTTGCCGGAGGCGTTTGGCTACGCGCTTGCCGTTGTCGCTGGCGGAATTTGTAGAGAGAATTTGTGCTAAGTTTAAAAGATAAAAATGTGCATGTTTTAGCATCTTGTTTTTGTACTAATTGCTATAGTAAGTGGGTTTGAGTTTTCTTATGAGCTAGATAATTGTTTAACTTTCCAACACGCAACAGAAATATACACATACAAATATATTTAAATAGACTATTAAATATGAATGTATTCGAAATTGCTTTGTTTGTTCTTTTGTCAAAACAAAATTAATTTTCGAACTCTTTCTTTTTTTGTATCACAACTAATGTTACCATGTCGAAATTTATTCACGTAGCTGTCCTGGCCGGCAGCTCAATGTTTGCACTCTCTGCTGCCGGAGCTGCCCCGGATCGAAGCAAAGCGCCCCAGATGAAACGTGAGCTGCCCACACGCAACATGAATTTAGATGCGTTGCGTCGCACCGAGTACGATGTTCTGATCATTGGCGGTGGAGCGGTAGGCGCTGGATGTGCACTAGATGCAGCTACACGTGGATTGAAGACTGCCCTGGTTGAGGCCGATGATTTTGGTAGTGGTACTTCGTCGAAGTCCAGTAAATTACTGCACGGCGGTCTACGAGATTTGGACCATGCAATCACACATCTCGACTTGGCCGCCTTTCGGCGTGTTCACTCATCGCTGCAGGAGCGCAGAAACATTACCAATCTGGCGCCGCACCTCAATCAGTCGGTGCCAATTATGTTGCCCGTACACAATTGGTGGCAGTTGCCCGTCTATTGGATGAAACTGCGTCTCTATCACTTAATGGCACCGGGCACATCGAAAGGCTTCACCTACATCAATAGCCGGAAGGCCCTCGAAATGTTTCCGATGATGCGCCGTGACATGGTTGGTGCCTTCGTCTTCTACGAGGGCCAGCACGACGACGCTCGGATGTGTCTCGCAATCATTTTGACCGCCTCCCGCTATGGCGCCGACGTCTGTAACCACATGAAGGTGGTCGATCTACTGCGGGACAAGAACAAAACTGTAATTGGAGCCAAAGCTATAGATCAACTGACCGGCAGAGCTTACACAATTCGCGCCAAAATGGTCATCAATGCAACTGGCCCCATGAGTGATTCTATTATCCGCCTGGAGGATGCTAGTGCGTCGCAGCAGTGTACGCCCACCTGGGCCTCGCACATTGTGCTGCCGCCCTTTTACTGTCCCGAAGAGGTAGGGCTCTTTGATCCGTACACGGACAACGGCTCGACGATATTCTTTTTACCCTGGTTAGGGCATACGCTGATGGGCACCTCGGATGACACACGCGAGGCCGCCCAGGGGCAACAGCCAACGGAGATGGAGGTTCAGTATCTCTTGGATAGCATCAGAAACTACATTAATCCAAATTTTGATGTACGCCGCTGTGACGTGCTCGCAGCTTGGGGCGGATATAAGCCGCTTCCCACTCAGTCGACGGAGCTAGCTCATTCGACGCTGAAGAACCATGTGATTTCTATCGGGCCAGGTAACATGGTGTCAATTGTGGGCGGCACATGGACATCGTTCCGGCTGATAGCAGAGAAGGCCATCGACGCTGCCATTATTAATGGGGGACTGCAGCCATTGCGCAAGCATTCGATTACAGCGACCTCGTGCAAACTGGATGGCGCCATTGGCTGGACTCCAAACATGTTTATACGGCTGGTGCAGGATTTCGGCCTGGAACGTGATGTGGCCAAGCACTTGTCCGACACATACGGTTCGAATGCGTTCAAGGTGGCCGTTGGCGCCAACTCCAGTGGCAACGTATGGCCCATTATAGGTAAACGGTTGCACTCCGAATTTCCCTATATTGTGGCGGAGGTGCGACAGGGGGTTAGAGACTATGCCTGCACCCTGGTCGACATGGTAGCACGTCGGCTGCGTGTTGCATTTCTTAATGTACAGGCGGCCGAGGATATATTGCCCCGCGTGGCCAGCGAAATGGCGCGCGAGCTGAAATGGAGTCGAGCAAGGCGATTGAGAGAAATCGAAGAAGCACGAGAATTTCTAAATACTCAAATGGGAAATACAACCGAATTCGATCCAATTCATATGAACATACCCATTAAGCTGTCTGTGGATCAGGTGCAGAAGTATGCCGAGCATTTCAGAAATCTCGACGAGGCCAATACTGGCTTCGTGTCGATAAATAAATGCTGTGCGGCCATGAAGTCGTTCGGTGTTAAAGAGGTGCCGGTGGACCTGATGCACGACGTGCTGAGGGACATTGACTGTCACTCCCAGGGTAAGGTGAATCTCTACGAGTTCCTCATGCTCATGTCGGCCATTGTGCACGGAGACACGGCATATTTACGATATGCCAAGATGCGTTTAGACCAGAAAATTTCGGCAATAAGCCGCCGTCGGCGCAAGCAAAGTGAATGTGCGGTCGACCGATCCGGGGGCGGCTTGTGAAGATCGAATCAATCAATCTCGTCCAAAACTCAGTGTATTTAAATTATTCTGTACTGTCTCTTATACTATTTATATTTATTTGGTAGTGCTGCCATATCGTAGCAAACAGAACCTAGCAGTGTTGCCACACTTTAGCTAGGCAACTCAGCTCATTCGAGTCGTTCGCGTTCAAAAGTATAACGGAAATTATCGAGCAGTAACAGTAGAATATAATGCGAAATTAATTAAATATGGAAATGTGTTTTAAATTTGTATTTGAGTTGTAAAGTTGGATATCGACGCGCTTTGCGTTATTTTGTTTAGACTTTGTAATCATTAACAATTGTTTTCTATATTCTCTTAGCAAAAGTCGTATATGCCCTATGGAGCTTGTGTGTATATATATAATAGTTATATGTATTTGTAACATTTGTATATATATATTTGTATTTTTGCAACAATGACGATAGCATACTAATAGTGTGTTTCAATACATTTAATTTTGGTGAGTAAATGTTGCCAGGTGAAACATTTGTTGCTATAATTCATGTATTTATGTAATACACATGCAAAGGTGAAAGCAATAGTAAACAATTTTATGTATGTGCTATAAATATATATTCAAAGTGAGAAAAACGAGACATAAACTAAAATAAATAAGCAATAAGTGAATAAGGAAAATTGTACAAAGTAGAGTTATGAAGAAAATTATAAATAATTATTGTGGCGGCAGATTTGATACAGATATATGCATATATATTGATAAATATACATGTGGGTATGTATGTATACATTAGAAATACATTTAGTTGACATGGATTTTTTTTCGGAGTGCACACTTTCACTCTAGGGTATGGTTAGATTGGCTAAATATCATTAAATATTAGCTGCCTAAACTTTGACCTGAGCTGAGAGACATGTTTATCGTATAAATATGTCAAAAATGTTTACTATATAAATGAAACAAAAGAGATAAACCAAAATTTACAACGTTCAAGTTTGTTGCAACTGTCAGAAGAGAAATAAACATTAAGATTGATTCTACGATGTTTTCTATGTGCACTGGGCATGATAAGTGTTAGTTGTGTTCTTCTTCATCTGTCTAAGCGACGGCATCTGTGGCGCACTCCTCCTCGACGGTGATGTACATGCCCTCCTCTTCGTAGGCCGAGTCGTGCTTAGCCAGAATTCTGAGCAATGGACGCAGACGCAGCCACCACTGCTTCTTCGGTATGCGTTGACTGTGGAAGATGAGGGAAATAATCAGTTCAATTCGCTATAGACTTTCCTTTTGTGGCACTCACTCAAAGTTGGTGTCGGCAATGAGATCGACCAGGGGTGTGAATCGATACTGCCGCGAGACGATGCCCAGCAGTGTTGCTGTGTCGGTCGATTTGCAGTTGACGACGCCATTGCTGTCGATGTTGTTCTTGATCTGTGTGGCCAGCCAGTCGACGCACTTGGCGGCCATTTTGGTGCCCATGTTGCGATCGAATGGACTGGGAGATCCACCCTGTTGCATGTGGCCCAGGATGTTCATGCGGCAGGTGAACAGACCCTTGCCTTCCTCTGAGTACAGGCGATAGATGAAGTCAGTGGTGTAGTTCTCACTGGCCTTCTCATTGCGCAAGATGAGGCCGCGAGACACGCCCTCGGCCATTTTGGACGCCATGTGATAGACATCCTGTTGCAGATCCTTGATGGAGAACTTCTCCTCATATATATACGCGGCATCCGCACCACCAGCCAGGCCAGCCAACGTGGCCAAATAGCCGCTATAGCCACCCATGGTCTCAATGACAAACACGCGACGCTTGGTGCCCTGGGCCGACTGGCGAATGCGATCGCAGATTTCGGTGATCTCATTCAAGCCGGTATCGCAGCCGAGCGAGAATTCAGTGCCGGGCACATTGTTCGAAATGGTCGCCGGCACCACCACAATGGGTATGCAAAACTCTGGATAGTTGTCGCGCTGATCGGAGATTTGGCCAGCGGCGTGGTAGCTCTCGAATCCACCGATGATCAGCAGACCCTGGATCTTGAACTCCTTGAGACGAGCGGCGATCTCCTTGAATTTGCCCTCGGGCAGAGTACGCTTAGTGCCGAGGTAAGCACCACCCTGACCCACCCAGCCAGAGACATCAGACCTGTGGAGTGGAGTCAATTATTGAATATGTTTAACTACATAGTTACTTATAATAATCTACTCACCAGCCCAACTCGCGCACATTGCCAGCAATGAGACCCTCAACGCCATCGTTGATGCCATAGACAACATCGCCGCGATAAATGGCATTGCGCACAAAGCTGCGCACGGCCGCATTCATGCCGCAGGCCGGCGCACCAATGTGCATCACAGCCAGCCTGTAGCCCTCGATGCCCTTGCCCTGCTCGTCGAAGTTCTCCTTGGGCGGCTTCAAGCGCGTCAACATCTTGTAGGTCTCCAGGTTGCGTTCGAAGGAGCGACCGCGCAGCTTCACAGCATCCGCCCAGCGACGCTCCGCCATGGCCTTGGCTACAGCCTGGGTGCGCTCCACACACTCCATAAGTGGCACACGAACCGTCTGGTTGCCGTCCAGCGAGATGACTACCGGCACTGACTCCGGCGTGGCTTCCATCAGAGCCAGAGTGGCCTCGGCG